AAGCTGCGAACTCAAGAGTACTCTGCTAGAACCTTTCCAGAGACTACTCTTACCCTCCTCCTTTGGGCCTCGACAAGACGTCGTAGCTTTCTGCCAGGCTCCCATGTCCTGCATGTACTGAACGGAAGGGGGGCATTTTAGGCTTGTGGCAATATCCTTGGCCTTTCTTGGGGGCTGGTCCTTGTAATGAACAAAGGATTCCACTTCTTAAGGTTCCTATGTTCTGAATACCCTGGCCCTAAACCCGAAACACTCAACCCTCCTGAGTACAGAAGCTCCATCTAAGCCTTAGGAATTCCCTCTGCTTGCAGCGGGTCCTAAGTTAGGTGTAGGATTTAGGGTTTGAAAAACCTGAACCCGAAATTCCAAATCCAAACTAAGAAGCCTAAACTTTGCGCCTCAGGGACTCCACTGCTTGCAGGGCAAAAAAGCTGCAAGTCCTCTAATGTAGGGGCCTTAAGCCTTAAGAATTAGAATAGGGCTTTGGGGGCTCCTTATAATAATCTATGTATATTAATATTACTTGGACCCTGTTCTAATTATTAAGGCCCCTACAAGGCCCTACACTAGACGGGTTGTGACATTTCGGGTCGAGGCCTCATTCCAGACTATCCTTTAAATAACACTTGCCATAATATACTATAGTATCACACCATATAATAACATAATGTAATCAGACTCCAGTATATAATGATAAACTAAATTAAACTCTATAAACTTTCAGATCTGAAACCCTTAGCCCCGAAGGACGACACCTCTCCAAACACGGGAACCGGTGCAAGGAGAAAGCTTTAAGGCCCACGTAGATGATTTCCGAAGGAAACAACTCCCTGCACATGTCGAAGACACCTTCTTGCCCCTTGAACCTACACCCCTAGACCCTAAAAGGACTAAACTTCACAGCTGAAGTCTGCTCCCACGAACCTTGCACGTCAACCCTACTCGGTCAAGAACGTGCCTGTGGCAACCGCGCTGCCTGGTGAGCGCTGCGCGAAGCTCACGGCTAAAGCTTTCGTGCCTAGGTCGTCAGCTCAGAGCTACCAGGAGCCCCAACACCATCAAATCTGTAACAAAACCCTAAACCCTAAAGCTTCAACAGTAAACCCTTAAACCAACCCTAAAAAGAATCCCTATCAGGGATTCTTTCGGGTGTAGGGATCCCTTCGAAGATGCCTAAACCCTAAACCCTCAACCCTTAACCCTAAACCTAAACCCTAAACCCTAAACCCTAAACCCTAAACCCTAAACCCTCAACCCTTAAACAGATCCCTTACAAACGGAACCCTAAACCCTCAGCTCTGAGAACCCCTGGGTCTCCACTCTCTCGCTGGAGGAGCTCCAGGCCAGGACGAGACCTGCACTTTGGGGTTTGGGGTTTTGGGTTTGGGGTTTGGGGTTTAGGGTTTGGGGTCTGGGGTTCAGGGTTTAGGGTTTAGGGTTTAGGGTTTGGGGCTTGGAGTTTGGGGTTTGGGGTTTGGGTTTGGGGTCTGGGGTTCAGGGTTTAGGGTTTGGGGTTTAGGGTTTAGGGTTTAGGGTTTAGGGTTTCGGGTTTGGGGTTTAGCGTTTAGGGTTTCGGGTTTGGGGTTTAGGGTTTAGGGTTTCGGGTTTGGGGTTAAGGGTTTGGGGCTTGGGGTTTAGGGTTTGGGGCTTGGGGTTTAAGGGTTTGGGGTTTGCGGCTTGGGGTTTAGGGTTTGGGGTTTGGGGTTTAGGGCACTTTGAGCGAGCTAAGGCTGGATACTGCCCCCTCAGAGTAAGGGCCTATAAAAATGTAACAGTCGATTATTAGGGGTCTTATTAGATATCTGCATTACAAAGAGCTAAGGTTCCGTGGTAATTTAACACCCTACACCCGAAACCCTAAACCCTAACACGCCGGCCCCATAACCCCAAATGTTAGGATTCAGATAAAGAGCCCCAATAGAGGTGTATTAATCCGGTTCCTGTATTAGGGCTCACAGATGACACGGTTCCATGGTGTGGGGTTTATAAAACCCGAAACACTAAACCCCAAACAATGAAGGGATGGGGGGTATGCGGGTTTAGGGCTCGAGGCGTGCGGGGGTTTAGGGTTAGGGATTTCCAGTTGTCGTTGTTGTACAACCCTAATTTAATTAGAATAGGGTGTTGGGGGCCCCGCATACAAAAACCATACTAAGGACCCCGCAAATAGTCTTGGGTTTGGGGTTTAGGGTTTAGGGTTTAGGGTTTAGGGATTAGGGTGTAGGGTTTATTAAAGGATTCAGGCCCCTGCATGAATCCCTGAACCCTGACCTTCTTCCCTGACGTCTTCTGGTAGATGTACGTAATCTGCACGGCATAGGAGTTAGTGGGCTTTTTGCGGAATCTTTATGAGTCTTTAGAATCAGAATAGAATTTTCTTGGGGCATCTTCTTCAGAGCAAGAACCCTATGGAAAAAAGTGGCGGCCCTAACTTATAACCCATGCAGCCACATCTGACAGAAACCTAACACGGCATTCAGATTCGAGCTTTATGTGCGGGACTATTCTGAGGTACGGGCACATTTAGGGCTCTCATCTCTATAAGAACAACCCAGAGATTGAGACTCAAGGTGCCCATGAAATATGTGCCGAAAAGCTTTCCGAAGAGCTTCCTGAAAATCGAAACCTCCAGACCCCGACGATCTACTTTGGATTTAAGGCTCGTGGCAGTTGAAGTTTACCAAGACTAGATATACCACATCTTGTCGGAACCTGAAGCTGGTAAACCTCTGTTAGGCATCGAATTTGACCCTATGTATGTGAACCCGATAGCAGACACAAGGAATACAAAATCAAATGAAATTATTGGATCCCGCAGAGCACGGTGACCCCGCAGGCGTCAGGGCTTCTTTCCATTTCAGATCCGTTTCGGATGACTCCTAGCTTCTGCGACAACGGGATTCCTCACCTCAAACTCTGTGGGGCTAGCCCTCAGGGTCCAAGTACCTCATATTCATATACTCTCCCACATACTAACCTGGATGACTACGATCCTAAACCCAAGTAACTTAAGTACCTTGTTGGGTTCTTCAAGCCCTTTAAACTCCTTCACAACTCACGAATCCCTATTTTCCCTTATGGGACCCTTATAGAGTCCCTTATTCCTGGGTCTTTTGGACCCTTAGGCTGAGGCTTGATGGGCAATGGAGTTCCGGGTTCAAGGTTTAACCTAATAGATGGCCTTAGGAATTATAGTAGGTTTTGAAGTATATTATAGAGATCAGGATTCCTGAGGAACACTAGTTTTTAGGGTTTAGGGTTTAGGGTTTAGGGGGGGTAAGCATTCCATCCTTCAGACCCCTATCCTTCAGGCCTTTCGAGACGACTCCGTGGGTGTGGGCATGCGCAGGGAGGGAGCTCTTGCAATGCTGCCATCCGGAAACGGGAAGAGGGCCTATGAAGATTAGAGCTCTACGATCTCATGTCAGGGTTGGGGTTTAGGGTCACAGGTTTAGGCTTCAGGGCTAGGGGAACCCTAAACCCTAAACCCAGGGTTTAGGGTTTAGGGTTTCTAGGAATTCTGGACCCCGGAGTAGAAGGGCTCTGGGTCTCGCTGCTGGTGATGAAGATGCGAACCCTAAACCCTAAACCCTAAAGCCAATCACGATTTTAGGACTCGTTATTGCAGGACTTAAGAATACTTTAGAGGTCTGAGCTCTTGTGGCTTAGGGGCGAAGAGGGTTCAGGGTGTGACGCTTAAGGTCTGGAGTCTCGTTTTCTGGCTTGGGGTTTATATTAGGGTTTAGGGTTTAGGGTTTAGGGTTTAGGGTTTTGGGTTTAGGGTTTAGGGTTTAGGGTCTGAAGTTTTGTGGCTGAGGGTGTGGGGCTCAGAGATCTACGCCTGGGCGTTTGGTGACCACGACATGTACCACGCCCTAAACCCTAAACCCTAAACCCATAGGTTTCCAGCTTCTGCCAGAAGAGCTGAGCGGCTTATGATCGGTTTAGGGTTTAGGGTTTAGGTGAGTTGTTGGGGTTTCATCTTCCATGCTGGAAACATGGTATGCTTGAGCTGAGTTTATTCGGCCGTGTTGAGCCAAAGAGCTGTCCAGGTGAACTGCTCCGTAGGTGTAGACATCTGAGAATCAACTACCGAGACGCTTCAAAGGTACTGTAGATCGAAAAAATTCTAAAGTGCATATGCGTATAATTATGTATGTAGAATCAATGTAGAATTCAGAAACACACATGCAGGTAAAAATGTATGTGGGCACATGCGATCACTTCACCATGCGTGCATATGCGGGCACATGTATACGGAGAAACATATGGCAGCTTTCACAGCTTCTGGATCCTCCAGTACATCCAGCTTCTCCTTGTGAGGCAGTGTTACTTTGGTTGACAGGACAAGCTCAGGTGTGACACCTCCCGGTGGAGGGGGACCCCAGCAGACCAAGTCATTGCCAGCCTGGCCACATCAATGCTGGCATGCATCAAAGGTGGTAGGCCTGCTGTCCAGGTTGTATCAGCAGGCTCATGTGGAGGGAAATTCCTCAGCCATGTGAGTGGGCTGCTAAGAACCTCATTTGCCCTCTCAATCACCCTGGCCTGCTCGGGGGTTGCAGCAGCACAGGCATACCTAGTCAGCAAATGTTTGTTGAACCTCCGAATGAAATTCCAAAAGGCAGGAGGTCCAGTGTTTGACATCAACTCAGACTTGGAGAAAGGGTTAGCAGTACAGCGATACATACATGCGTGCGTACAAACACACGTATAAACATGCAACACACGCGTCTGCATTCATGCAGCGCGAACTCTCTAGACCTACACATCTTTGATAATTCATGGATTCATGGACCAAAACATAGGCCGCTGAGCAGGCAGATTGAATCAACACAGGCGAATGACACTTCATCATGCTCTCTTTTGTCCACGAATGTAAAGTCTGCTGCGAAACTGGGTGCTGCCATCAAGTTGATGATGCGCACCCTCTAAGGGTGAGAAGATGCTATCCGACTACTGGGCCTAAACCCTAAACCCCAAACACTATAGAAATCACCTCAGAACTTCCGCGGCAGCTGGGTCATTGCTGGGCGTAAGTCACCTATGTGAGCTGAGATGCGAAAGGCGGCCAGTCACAGGGTTCAGGGCTTGGGGTTTCGGGGTCTACTTCGGGCATTTATGGTTTAGGCGCTCAGTGCTAAGTTTCGGGTATTTAGAGTTTAGGGTTTAAGGGTTTTAACCCAAGGGTTTCGCGCTTCAGGGTATTTGTCGAGGCTTAGAGTTTAGGGGGTGCCGGGTTTAGCACTAAGAATTTTGCGTTTCGGGAGGTGTTTAGAGGATATATGCAACCGAAACGTCCAGAAATCGGCGCGAGAAGACCTCCTTATATCATGAATCAGGAGTACCACGACACTAAACAATAGCTTGGCGTGAACAGCACCCTCCTAAACCCCAAGCACCAAACCCGAACCTAGTGATGATAGTCAGTGTCTGATTCAGCCCTACACCCCTAAAAACCCAGGAACCGAGTGACCTAGTGATGACGGCTTCTAATTCAGCTTCCTTGTGCCTCAGTAATCTTGGACCAGGCCCTTCGCAGCTTCCAGGACGGGCTCCAAGTTGAGCATCGCTGCTTACATTAAGGGTAATGTACTTTTAGGGTTTAGGGTTTAGGGTTTAGGATTTAGGGTTTAGGGTTTAGGGTTTTGGTCCCCATATGGGTCATATAGGGATCCCGTCTGTAGCCCCCATATTGGTAATGATCTCCTTCGTAGTATGCAGGGATCTCCTTCATAATCTCCATATGAAGACATGAAAACCAGGGTACTTGGGGGAAGTGGACTCCTCTATCCCACATCCAGTCTGAGGCTTGCCATACCTTCGGAAGGGACAAAATTCTAAGAATAAACATGTGTGTAAAAGTATGTCTGTATGCAGGCATGCGAGCATGCACTACATTACATTATATTACATTACATTACATTACATTACATTACATTACATTACATTACATTACACTACATTACATTATATTACACTACATTACACTACATTACA